TAATGGCAGCACTACCATGTAGTGACCACCCTGCTTTAAACAATGCACAAATTCAGTATTTTTAGTGCATTTGAAAATCCAAACACACCTTTATACAAAGGGGTGTGGGAGTGTTGAACAAGGCTCACAGGTGTGTTAAGACCCTAATTTCTTTCAGGGAAGAGCTGGCTGAGATTCTCTGCTCAATTAATAACACAGCCAGGTCAAATGGTCTCCGTGTTGCATCCTCTCCTGTTAATGGTAAGTGTGATTCTACTGGGAAAAGTAGCATTGCAATAGACAAGGGGCATCAACTACCCCTCCTGCAGGGGGCACACCTGTCCCTGGGCTGCTCTGCTTAGACTGCAATACAAACATCAGCCCCATCCTTCCTGAACAGGTTAGCAGCACGGATCCAAAATCTGACAGCAGTCACGCTAAGCAATCCATACAGACCGGGCACAGTGGTCTACCGGTCTTAAAACACTCACTCAAAATCAAGGCTTAAATGCAGCCACTCAGGTGCTGGCAGCCCAGCCAGTCAGCAGTAAGCCAGGCACATCAGAACTACACCCCACCTGCCTGCACAAGCTTCTCTTTACACAGACCCGCTGCTCCAGTCCTGGAAGGCTGGGGCCCTACAGGTGGCTTGGAGTGGAGCGAGTGAGAGACTGAATTCAAGGATCACAGATCCCCCGTCTAACAAACACCTGAGGCCTAGAGCTGCCCATCCCCAACCCCCTGGTGCAGGCCACAAGAGCACCAGGGAGTTACTCCGTAAAAAATAAAGGGAACACTCATCAAGATGGTTTTTAATACCAAAAGAATTTATTGAAGGTTTTATACAAAGCAACTGTGCTGGGCTGGTGTCAAAGAGTCCAGTGCCTCCCAGAGGAGAGCTCAGGCGCCAGTTCATCTCCTCCTCCTCCTGGTCAGGTCGTCTCTCCCCCACAGCATTGCCTGGTACATGAGGGGTGTAACAACAGGCACGTCCTCCAGCTGCAGCAGCTCCAACTCCAGGCCTGCCTGCCGTCCGCAGGGAACAGGCAGCGGGGACGGAAGGGCTCACAGTTGCAGTGGAGAGAAGCCAGTTTACTTGGACCTCTGCCTCATCTTTCTTCTCTTCCGCTTCAGCCTGTGACCACAAGAGGGCAGCGGTTAGCAGCACACTGACCGGGAGCCGAGCCGACAGTTCTGACCCAGGACAAGCTGGCCTCCCGCTGAGAATATTACAGTGAACCCTCATCCTTTATACAATTTTCTCAGTTTCTACAAGTTTCTTGGTAACTTGGAAGAGTTCAGCTCTGGTACCCCAAAACCACCCGTTACCCCCCCATCCCTATACAAGAGCATAAAACGCCCAGGGTCCCCAAATCAAACCCAACTCCACCAGATGAAGTGCTAAGCGATTTGCCAGTGTAAAAAGTGACCCAGCAGCCCTGCTACCCCCTGCCCCATAAACACTGGTTTAACAATAATAATAGCTTACACTTATATAGCGCTTTTTCTGGACACTCCACTCAAAGCAATTTACAGGTAATGGGGACTCCCCTCCACCACCACCAGTGTGCAGCTCCACCTGGATGGTTTAGAAACCTTAGCCACACAGGGCACTAGCACAGGAGTGCCAGGCTGATGCTGCAGCCCAGTCCCAACACTCAGGAACTCCCTCATCCCCACTGCCAGGGAACTCGTCGCCTTCCTTGCTTTATTGGGCTGTGCCATAAGGCCAACTTTGCCCCCTGGGATAAAATTTTAATTGAGCCTGCTAGTGAAATTGGTCAGCAGAACCAGCTTAAAGACCTGTATTATTTAGCAGTTCAAAGCAGAGCTCAGCCCATCGTTTACAACCCCTCTCGCCATCCCCATTTTGACTTTTCAACTTCAGGGAGGTATTTTAGAATACATGTGTACAATAAATCCTTTGTTCCCCGTGCAGCCAGTATATTAAACACAGCTAAGCTTCATGCAGGGAACAGTTGCCATCAGATTAGTGTACATTGCTGCAATAGCCAGTAGCTATATTGCTCTGCAACTCACAGCTGGCAGCCCCCTGCAGCTCAGCAGGTGTGAGTCTGGCCAGTAGCTGGACGGGAGACCTCCTGGGAAAGCTAAGATTCCTGCTGGAAGTGGTGATAGTGGGACCAGTAGGGGGTGCTCACCATGCAGTCTATACTGGGGCATTAGGACCCATACAACAATGGGCAAACTATACTGTAATAAAAAAGCACCGTCCTTCGGATGAGGTAAAACTGAGGTCCCAACTCTCTGCAATCATTTTTTTTTTAAATCACGCAGTTTCTTGAAGAGGGTAGGAGTGTTACCCAAGCATTTTCCCCTGGCTTTTATCAATCACAGCCTCTTAATAATCCCCATGTCTGAACTGGCTTCATCACTCTGCTCTCCTGCCCACTGACAGCTGGTGTGTGGGGAGCAGACCACCAGTCTGGCTGCTGTTGCTTCATCTAGATGGTGCAGGAGAGCCCAATACCCATCAAGAGCTCTGAGTGGAGTGTCCAGGAAAGCACTCTGTAACTGTAAAGGAGTAGTGCAATATGGGCAGAAAGACATGCATATGTACTGCTGCCCATCAAGCACTTGTTCATTTTTCCATGTTTGATGCTAAAGAGCTTTACGCCTTTTTAGTGGGACAGAGTTGTATCTCAGCTCCACTCTTCACGATTCATCCCAGCAGAATTAAGAGTTACCCAGCAGGGCCAGTACAGCCCCAGCTAGGAGTCCCAGCGCGCTACGGGCCGCACTGCCCCCTTCCAGCCGCCGCAGCCTGAGCCAGGAGCTGCAGCGTGGACTCGGCTCCCCCACTCCTCCTCCTCCTCCCCACCGGCCCGCTCGGCCGCTTACCTGCGCATTCTCTTCTTCCTCCACTGCAAAGAGAGAAAAACACCGTCAGTCAGGCCGAGCCCCCCAGCCCTGCCGGAGAATCAGCCCGCACACGGGGCAGGCAGAGGGGACTAACTGCACGCCGGGCCCACTCGGAAACTCGCCTGAAGGGCTTGTATTCCAGGTGACAGCGCCTCGCACGGAGCCCGAGCCGAGTGTCACACGGACACCACGCTCGCTTTCAGCCCCACGCCCGCTCCGAGCCAGGCCGGACAGCGATGAGCACCCCCAGCCGGAGGCTCACCAACAGCCCAGGCCGTCCCGGCAGCAGAGCGACCGCTCACGCCCCCAGGGCAGCCTCTCGGCTCGGGGATCTTCCTGTTAGAGGCTCAGTGTGTTACGTGCGGGTCAGGGCGGTCGCGCAGGCCGGAGTTTTAAAATGGCGCTAACCTACCGGCAGGATCGTTCCGCTGTCAAAAGTCGAAGCCGCTGCGCTCCGAGGCGGCTCAGACTCTGACCCCTCTTCCCGAGTGACAGGACTGCAGCGGCTTGTTAAGACGCGCACAGCGCCGCTGCCCCGATCTCCAGAAAACACGCAGACCTTCAGCTGCGGAACTGCGCGAACACAACTGCTAAACATGCGTCAACAGACCGGTATTCGACAGAAAAAACAACTCTTACCTTCGCTCGCATCTTGTGGAGTTGTTTCTGTGAACGAGAGAAAGTCAAATGTTAGAAAAAACCACGGATGGCAGCAGATTGCTCTGGATTGTTCGACAATACTAAAACCGGAGAACAAACACCATACCAACCTTTCTAAGATGGCACCAACTCCAAGAGGACGTGACGCAGTCGGGGGAGGATTTTTAAAGCCGCATGTGACGTCACTAAACGGAAGCTCGATCTGGGGTATTATGGGAAATGCCGTTTTTCTTTTTCTTACCGACGTACCATTATTTGGCAATAGAAAACACGGCTGTCATAGATCTTTCATGCAAGCACAACATTTGCGAGCAACGTTTTCAGACATTTTCTGAGTAGCGAGCCAGCAGAAAACGAACTGAAGGTGTTACGACATCGGAACAAATATATTCTGAATGGTGTACATAAGTGTATCTGGCTGCTTAAAGCTTTTTAAATATCGCTGTATCAGATTCCCACAGCCGTTCATAATGCATTTTATGTAATCACTGCATTAAGACGACAGGCTGTGTAGATTCGAGTCTTGTTCTGGATCGTGCTCTAATTACCCTTCAGCCTCAGAGCTCACGAACATCGGGGTATTTATTGACTGCCTTCATCCTCATCAGCAAGCCCACACTGCCCTGCTGCTCAGCCTGGTGGTCGTCACTGCTGTGCCACTCCACGCTCTGCAAGGGTCCCCAGTTTCACAATCCCCCACATTTTCTGCATGTCCATCTAATAATAATAATAATAATAATAATAATAATAATAATAATTCCTTACACTAACATAGATCTTTTCTGGACACTCCGCTTTAAGCTCTTCACAGGTAATGGGGACTCCCCGGTAAGCTTCCGAGTCTGAGTTATTTGCCAGTCTGAGATGAATGCGTGTTGGCTGAGGTGAACGGTCCTTCTGAGGAGTGCTGGGAAGGCACTGGTGCCAGGCACCGGCAGAGGAGATGCTCCTGGGAGCTCAGACACGGGGGGCAGTGCGCGTGGGCGCTGCTGTTTGAGGAGGTGTCTGAGGTATCTGGGGTATCAGAATTCATAATAATAATTCTTTACACTTATATAGCGCTTTTCTGGACACTCCACTCAAAGTGCTTCACAGGTAATGGGGACTCCCCTCCACCACCTGGGTGATGCGACAGCAGTCAGAGTGAACCAGTACTCTCACCACACACCAGCTATTAGTGGGGAGGAGAGCAGAGTGTTGAAGCCAGTTCAAAGATGGGGATTATTAGGAGGCCATAACTGGTAAAAGCCAGAGGGAAATTTGGCCTGGACACCAACACCCCTACTGTTTTCAAGAAACACCCTGGGATTTTTAATGACCACAGAGTCAGGACCTCAGTTTTACAGCTCATCCAAAGGATGGTGGCTTTTTACAGTATAGTGTCCCCGTCACTATACTGTGGCATTAGGACCCACACAGACTACAGGGTGAATGTCCCCTGCTGGCCCCACTAACACCTCATCCACCAGCAACCTTAGTTTTTCCCATGTCTCTCATCCAGGTACTGGCCAGGCTCACACCTGAGCTTCAGTGGGTTGCCAGTTGTGAGCTGCAGGGTGATACAGCTGCTATCTAGTGCAGCTATAGCACCCTGCTATATCTAGTGATCCCCAAATATTTCGACCATGCAGTCCCTCACTGGTAAAATAAAGGGAAACGTACTTCAGTTTTGAACAGTGCCCGGAGGTGATCTCATGAAGGATCAGCACCACTAGGCTGTAAAGACAGATGAGGGTGACCCACACACGCACAGGTCCCCAGACACTGACCCATGTCTCCCAGAAAGCACACGCGTGCCGCCTCACAGCCTCGGACAGGCCAGGCAGTACAGTGCTCAGCCAGCCTCAGGCAGAGACTTCTCCAGCGTTCTTGAGCAGGATCGGTCTGTAGGGAACAGCGGCATGGGATATTCCCAGAACACCCCCTGAACTTCACGGCACCCACACCTGGGAGCTTTATGCTCCCAGACCGCCCATAAAAACCTACACATGCATCGCCCAAGCAGACAAGACACAGAGGTGTTTGGTATTATTATAAAGTTTATTTTTAATTCATTTTTATGCAAAGAACAAAAACCAAACTAACAAAAAGGAGAAAAGCCCGATAATTAAAATGCTTTAAAACTAAAAAGGGCGGGTTGTTTTCCACTTGAGAAACTCGGGCTCCCAGCCGGTCCGAAGGAGGCCCGCTGTGGGGACGGTGTCCTGGAGAAGCCAGGGGAGACCAGCTCAGCCGTGTGTGTGTGTGTGTGGGAGAGGGGGTGGGGGGGTGGATCAAGGCTAACTCAATGGTCAATCATCAATCGCAGCTTGTGTGCTTCTCTCGCCCTTCTCCCCACAGGGAACCCCAGCCACCCCTGTCCCCTTCCCAGAATCCCTGCTTCCCCAGAGCTGGGGCATAACTGGCCGCTGGCGCACCAGCCCTGTTACAGCCCCCACCTCTGCTGCCCTGCTACTGCGCCGAATTAACGTGGCCTTCGATTGTACTTCAGCCATTGACATGACAGAACAGGCAAAGGACACTGGGAGCATCACTTTTTTTCCATGCCATTGTTACTGACAGGAGAACTTCTCCTTGAATGTTAACAGCAGCTTCTAACCTTCCAGGTAAACCCGTAAGCTGTTTTCACTCAAGCACAGCTCTCTAATTTGACAAGGATTTGTTTGGCTACATGCTTCTGCTGAGGGCATCTGGACGGTCCCATGGGACAGAGGGCTCCATGGGCTGTGGCATCACCTTCTGCGGACAGAGATCCCGGGACAGTAAGTGTGCCAATATCTGGGGTGCAGTTCCAAAACACAACCAGCAGGTCTGCAGGAACCCAGAACAGGTACCACCCCACCCAGAAGCCTCACCTGGCTAAAGGAAGTGGACTGCACTCCAGAGAAAGGCAATACAATTTCTTTTGGCATTAAATTAATTTGCTTGTGGTCGGCTGATATTCAAAGTCAGCGTCAGAGCTGAACACAGCTGTCCCAACAGGAATCTGAGCAGGGAAATACAGCAATTGTCTCACAGAACAAGAGGCCCAGCAGCACCGTCTGTGAAACTCGTTTTGCCTTGAACAACTCCCCCCCCCGAGGCTACTGGTCTGAAAGAACACCTACACGGGCAAGGAAATATTTAATCAAGCAATCCAGTCAGCAAAACTGAACAAAAAAACAGTTTGTCTCCCCTAAATTTTGAAAGTGTAACGTCAGTAAAGGCATTCCTGTCAGACTTGTCATCCAACAGACATTTTCAGAAGAACCATCCTGGGTTCTAGGGCTGGTGAGAACAGCGCCCTCTTTCTCCAGCCCCCAGGCAGTGCGAGAGAGAATTCAACCGACAGGCTGCACATGGATTACACCGATTTGTTATTTGCTCAGGGTTGATTCTAAACAGACTTTAAATTTGTTTCCTAAATACACTTACTACCTGTCTTCCCCAGAGAGAAGGGCAGAGCAGCAATGCTGTTTACGGGTGGTTACTCATTTCTGTGGAGGATCCAGTGAGTTTGGATGATTATTCAAGGGATTTTGTCTGTTCTGGGACATGAACCGATATCTATAGACATCTCAGTTTACCAAGAGGATTCCCAGGAAACCAAAACATTTTCCACCGCCAAAATATCTGTCTCTTCAACAGAGCTTTCAAGTGGGTTCTAAGATTGTTAAATCCGGGCAATCACTAACAAATCAAGGGCTGTTTTTAGAGGTTTAATACCCACAGTAACCGGGCCATTACTGCCCTTCCGCTCTGCGTGAGCTCTGCAGGCCGCGTGGGGGGGTGGGTCAGGGGTCAGGGGTCAGCGCCAGGCATGTCTAACCGGCTGGCTAGTCTTTCTGCCTTGCTCAGGAAGGTCAGCTGGGCTCGGGGCTCGGGGCTCGGAGAGCGGCATCTCCGGAGAAGAGAGAGGGCAGCAGCGGGACAGCCAGCTCCTCTCTCTGTTCCCCATCGTGCTCGGGCAAGGCCAGGGGGACTGAGAGATCATCCCCAAGGCTGAGGAGAATCGGGGGACTGCTTTGGGCCTGTTTACTCTTATTAATAATCGTTCTGAAGACTTGGTTTAGGTCTGAGTTCTGTTCTTTGGAGGGTGTGTGTGTGTGCGCGGCAGTTAGCGGGGAGGTTATTCAGCAGCCTCTGTCTCCTCCACCGGCTGTCCCGTCGTGGCGTTCTCCGCGTTCTTGGAGGCCTGAGAGAGACGGAGAGGGAGAGGGGGGATTACCACTCTAAACTGCCAACTTCGCCACGCGCTGCTGGCGTCCATGTTGCGCACCCTACCTTCTTTTTCTTCTTCTTCTGTGTCTTCCGGCTGGCTGAGCTCTGTAGCAGCGCCTGAAAGGGGGACACAGAATGGGTGTCAACTAGGCTGTGAATGGAGGAGCGTCACCTTGTCCAGAGGAAGGTACCCTCTGCCGTGTGTGCTCCACACCTACTGCCCTCGGGCTGACCTCTGACCTAGTGCCCCCTCACCTTGAGCTCAGGGTCCTGCACCTCGTGCTCCGACTTGTACAGCTCCTGGTCGAAGGGCCCGCTGGTGATCCTCATGGGCCCGTTGGGCATGAGTAGCACTGTGAACTTGAACTGGGCCACGTTCTCCCCTGGGAGAGAGGGAGGCAGGAAGTCAGCATCATCCGGCTTCATGGAAGGAGGAGAGGCCATACAGTCGCGCATCTGGACTCTCTTAGAAACAGACATCTGAGGGAACCAGACCAGAGCCCGCCAGTCTGAGACGGGCTCAGCGTGGGGATGCTGGGCCGCATGAGCGGGGCACACTGACCTTCCTTCTCGTACAGCACGTTGAAGGGCTGCAGCAGCTCGTGTTTGGCGCACTCCACCACGCCCAGCCGCGCCTTCCCCTCGTCCTCAAATGCCCTGAGAGAGAGAGAGAGAGATCAGAGGACAGCGAAGGGAGCGGTCAGATTCCCTCCTCGCGGTCAATCAGCAGACTGGACTGTTCTTTATTTCTCTGATGTCCTGCAGATTGCTCAGTCTCACATGGGTCCTGCTCACTACCTGCTGTCTGCTCTTGTCTGTGGCTGTGCTGTAATCGGTTCTGCCAACATTAGGGGCTCCCTGTTGAGGGGGCTTGTGAGCAGCAGGGAGGAACCGTGAAAGAGACCAGAAAAGCGAGGAATGAAAGGAGGACAGAGAGGAGAGCTCAGATCACTCCCAGCTCAGTAAGTGGGGGCCTGTTTTTGGGGTCCTCCAGCCCGGCCCAGCCCACCCCACGCCCCCCGTGTGGCACTACCGGAGAGTGAAGGGCATGCCGTCGAAACGCCTCTCCACCTCGCTGAAGAACACGCGCGAGGTCTTCATCTTCAGCCCGTACTGCTTGGTTGGGTCCCGCTTGTAAATGGTGGTCCTCTGGCCAGCGTCCCTCGCCTGTGACAGAGTCAGACAGCAAGACTGAGGTCAGCGGCGAGACAGACAGGGACGCCTTACAGCCAAGTGAGAAAGACTGCTTACGTTCCTGCTGTATTATTCATTTTTTGTCCCGTTTAGATTTCGATGCTACAAGGCTACTGGCCGAATCATCACTGTACATGTCATTTGTTTTCAACCATGCAATTAAAGAATGAAATGCAGGTATCAGAGCAAAAGGAAAAAGACCATATACCCTACCTTCCCCTCTCCGGTGCTGATCAGCACGTCCACAGCGTACACCTCGTGCACCTCGAACTCCGCCTTCTCATGATCCTTCCTGCGGACGGACACGCAACACAGCCAATCACAACACGGGCACAGCGCGTCAGTGTCCTCGTCCAGCCAGCGTGGCAGGAAGTGGGGTTGGTGGGGGGACGTTTCAGAGTTACACACTTCTGAGAGGGTAAGGCACTCAGTTGAAAGCACTATGCCATCACACGTCATTTAACAGAGAAGATGCTTCGGTACGACCAGAAAAGCAGCTGACCAGGGCTCACCTCTGCTGATCTGAAGGGTTCTGAATGATGGTCTTCTCTCCATCAATAACGTGCTGCTTCAGCTGGTGAGACAGCATCCCTGCGAGGAGGATCAAGAGGGGAAAAATCAGAAAACGACCAAGCTCCCAGGAGACCTGCCGCTGAAACAGACACAGCAGTGACCAGCCGCACTGCCTGCTGGTCCTGGGAAGCGTGCGAAAGGCCCCCTGGCACAGGGCAGATGAGCAGCGTGGGGCACTGTCGGGGAGAGGGGTGGGGGGGTTCTGAGACACTTCCGGTGCAGAATTAGCAACTTCAGCTCGTCTCTCCAGGGTGCCCCAGGTGGGTCACACTCACCCTCGATGGCCGTGCATTTGAAGGACTGTGCAATCTTGTTCCAGGCCTCTGTCACCTGAGTGTTCTGGGAAAGAGAGGGAATCAGCACATGAGGAACTCGGAGAAAATGTCAATAAGAACGATTTCTTTTGCTCACTTCAGAACCCCAGAACTGCCTGCGGCCCGGGGCAGTCGGCACACCTACCTGGTTGCCGGGCTTGACGAGACGCAGCGCAGCCTCAGCGCACAGATGGGCCGCTTTGATGACGTCAGCCTTGCGCCCCGTCACTGGGGCCTCCTGCAGAGGGGCCGGACGAGAGAGGGACGAGAGGGAGCGTCAGTGAAACAGACGGAGCAGAGACGGACTGGGCACAGACACGGGGGGCGAGAGACCCACCTTAGTCGCTCCCACGACGAAGCTGTGAGCCACGTTGGCAATGAAGCCGTCAACATGGACACCCAGGTCACTGGGGACAGGAGAGCAACAGGCAAGGAAGCGTTATGGGTCATGTAGCGCTCTGACAGACTCACAGTATACAGGCTAGAGACACACTGGACAACCTCCATCACCAGCCTCCAGCAGAGCTGCCTGTCCGCACTCAGGCACACCCAACACAACCTCTGGGCCCCGCACACACACACTACACAACCACTGGGCTCACACACACACACACACACACACACACACACACGCTCCCACATTGCACAACATCTGGGCTCACACACATACACGCATGCTTCCACACTACACAACCACTGGGCCCCCCACACACACACGTGCATGCATGCCCATACAACACAGCCTCTGGGCCTCATACACAACACAACCACTGGGCCCACGCGCGCCCACACACACACGCACGCACGCGCCCACACAACACAACCACTGGGCCCTGCGCACACACATGCTTGCGCCCACACAACACAACCACTGGGCCCACACACACACCCACACTACACAACCACTGGGCCCGCACACACAACCACACTACACAACCACTGGGCCCGCATACACAAAACACAACCTCTGGGCCCTGCATGCACACACATGCTTGCGCCCACACAACACAACAACTGGGCCCGCACACACGCACACAAACCAGAGCACAAAGCAGGAGAGATGCAGACTCACATCTTGACCAGGTCTCCCTCCTTCAGCGTATAGTCAGGGTCGCTCTTCAGTGGGGAGAAGTGGCAGACACAGTTATTGACGGACACACTGGTGGGGAAGGCAATGCCTAAAGAGAGGGGAGAGGCGGTTACTGTCATGCCACAGGAACAGAAAACCCCACCTGTACACCCAGCCATCACTTAAACCATCCCAGAGATTCTGCTCTGTAGTTCACGCTTGTTCCACGCACCCACCACCCTCGGGGTAAAGAAGCGCCTCGTGAGCTGAGGCAGACACGCTCGTCCCTCCGCCGCCCTCACCTTTCTTCATCTCTTTCTCCTTCTTGAAGATCTTGCCAGTCTCCTCCATGATGAGGGCGTCCCCCTTCTCACAGAGAGCCAGGACAGACACCCCGGGCTTGGCTGCCTCCACCACCTTCCGGAGGGCCTCTGAGAGACGACAGCGGGACAGGGCATCAACAACAGCACTACTGACACAGCATCAGACAGGTGCTTGAACACCCGCAGGGCAGACACAGCCAGAACATATCTGAACGCAAGTGCTCCACCTGGAAGGACATGTCTGGCACTCTGCTGGGACTGACCTGGAAGTGGAGGTGGATTCTTATTCACCCACATGCTGGGTGTTTCATTAATTAGACTGTAACTGATGCAGACAAATTAGTTGAAGTAAAATTACATATTTATTTTTCTGATAATTTGAAACATCTTAAAATGGCATAATCTGGACTGGAACACACTGCTGTGCACTGGGAGTCTGGCTGACAATGCAGTAAACCCTGGACTG